CTGCAGAGCCACAGAGAATAAGAGGCAACTTCAGGAGACAGGACCCTGAGGACCCCACCTGGCTCTCCAGGATGCTCCCAGCTGGCCCAGGCTCCAGAAGCCAAAGGAAAAGGCCAGTCCTGCTTCTCATAAGGATGGGCCTGTCTCATCCTTGGGACAGAAATAGATGAGTGTGCATGTAGATTGAAATGTTAATGATGGATGACACTTAATCTCCAGGTGGGCTCAGGGATATGGAACTTTGGTTTTGTTTGTAGCCTGGGTGGGTTAGATGTGGGCATTCTAAGTGTTTGGCCTGAAAGTTTGTGTGCTGCAAATTCATACTGTAAAAGCCAGTCTCCATGGGCTGGGGATAGAACTGAATTGGTAGAGTGCTTGCCTAGCCTGCACTAGTGCATTAAGTTCTAATGCACTAAGTACACTAAGTTCTAATGCACTAAGCTCATCCCCAACAGCGCACGCGCGCGCGCGCATACACACACACACACACAAATGCATAACAAATAAAATCAGTCTACTACCTGAGCTTTGATTGAAAAAAAAAAAGAAGAAGAAAGCAAGCCAGTCTGAAAGTGAAAATCTTTGGGAGGGGACTGGGTTTAGGAACTATCAATAGTTTTTGATACTTAGTTCCAAGAGAACTGTTTACCCCTTCTTCCAAGTAAGGACATAATGGGAAGGTGCCATCTAGAAACCAAAGCAAGACCTCCCCACACAACAAAACTGCTAACACCTAGATTCTGGACTTGTCACCTCCTACACAGAAGACAACACATTTGCATTATTTATAAGCCATCCAGTTTATTGTGTTTATTTGTTTATATTTTGATAGTAGCTTTGTGATCAAACCCAGGACCTTGTACATGCTTGGCAAGTACTCCACCACTGAGCTACTCTCCCAGGACTTATATTTTGAGCTCAGGTATCCCCTAGTGGCCAGACTGGACAGAGTATGTAATTCTTTTCCCTCAGCCTCCTGAGTGGCTTGGATTATGGGCATGTGCCACCGTGCCTCACTATATTATTATTGGAGTTGTTGTTGCTGTCGCTGTTGTTGTTCAGRAGCCTGATGGAATAAAACACTGTGGCTTCTGGTATATAGTTTCTCTACAGAGGTCCCACTGGTATGAGAACATGGGTACTTGCTGAGAGGTAGACAAGGGGTTTGGAAAAGTACCAGCTCCGCTTCCTAAAATTTCTCCATCAGCATGGGAGGGTGTGGCAACTGGGAGGAGGGGATAGRAGGGGTTGTAGGTAAGGAGAGGGGAGGAAGGGAGGGAGGGATCAGGCACACTGGGGTGAAGAGGAAGGTGGGCATTAACTGGATTACYCATCCACAGCCTCCTTGGGAATTACTGAGTGTGTCTAACAAGAGAGGACCCATGGCGGAGTGTATGGATGAATAGCTATGTGAATGATTGGATCAACCTGTTTAATGGGTGGGATGTGTGGGCACCACAGGAAGACCCCATCACACCTAACACACCCCTTTCTTCCTGACAAGGAAGCTAGAGCTCTGTGTGCTTGTCCTTAGCTCCCTTTAGCTCCTGGATCTTCTGAGGCAGGGTCTTGGTCCAGAACTGCAGCCTGTGTGACTTCAGGGCCTGGCCCACAGCAGGCTGGATGTCCAGCTGCAGGTACTGCTGGTCCTGGTCGAATARTGGCCAGTGGGGCAGGCCCTCTCCATTGGGGTTCCTGTGCACATGCCCTCCCAGCAGGGAAGGGCAAGGGTCAGTCTGAGCTCTGTTGAAATCAGACCTGACCTTCCACCCCAACTATGGACAGGGCAGCCAGCCAGGCACACAGGGGATTTGGGAATGGAGAGAGGTGTCCTGATGTAGGAAAGCAATGACCTCTCACTAGTGTCATTCCACACAGGGCAGAGCAACCTGGCCTGTGTTGCGCTTCCCTGAGAAAAACTGGCTCCCATGGTAGCCCAGCACTATGGCTCACTTTCTGGACAACTGTGAGAAGAGACAGTGGCCTGCACCAAAAAAGAACCCTCTTTTAGTGTGGGTCTTCCTATTGGGTACAGGGCTAGAATATGATAAAGAACACACAATTGCTAATGGGGTCACATCTGACAAGAGGAACAGTGGAGGGCCCGTGTCCCCTGGGAGGCTGAAAGGCTCAGGTGTCCTCACCCATTTCGAGCAAAGTTGGCCCAGTACTTCATCATCCTCCTTTTCAGCAGCTCCTCCCCCTCAGTGAGCTCAACTGTGGGAGGAAGAAGCAAGGGTCCAGGTCCTGGCCAACCCCATCCAGCTGTCCACTCCTGTRCCACACTCACCACCCCAGCCCCAGGCTTGTGTCCCTTCCCAATCACAACAGTCCCAGGGCCAGGCCCTC